AAACGTTAATGTGTAAAGCTGCTGCTGCTGCTTCGGTTCCTGCACGTGAATACATTCAGACAGTTTCATTTACATTTTATTCTGTTTAACAAAGAAAAGACTGGTGCATTAGAGACAAACTTCTGTTGTGACACCTTTTACCTTTTATCAAAAGATAATTGCAGCAATTTCCATAATATTTCAATCAATTGTTATTGTATTTTATGTTGTAGGTAAGTTTTATATTTCACATGCAAAGGTACATTGAACAGTTGGTGAACTGAGGGACTTGAGAGCAATAAATATGGCCATATAATCAATATTATCAAATATCAGCACAAGCCGATACCTGTCACAGTTCAGAAAGGTATTTAATCTACAGGGATGTGAAATGACAAAGGGACGTTTTTCTGGTTAAATGGACAAAAGTGAAGCAATTTCAAGAAAAGGGAAAAACAAAAGACATTAAGAAAAGACAACAACTGAAAGAAGATGGAAAGTTTGTGACGATAAAGACGTCAGGATGAGACATGAGAGCGGAGAGCATGAACACACACACACACACACACACACACACACACACACACACAAACAAGAGGAGACATCAAGAGATGAAACGGGGTCGACGCCGAGACATAAAGATGAGACGTCAAGAAAAGACAAACAAGAAACAAGGAGAGACAAAGAAGAGATTAAGAGAAGAAGAAGAATGTAAGGAGAGAGGAGGAGGAGGACAGGAAGTGGGGGAGATAAAAAAAAAACATCAGGTTTCAGTGTCTGCATGTTATCTGTGAGTCAGCGCTCTGCCTGAACGAGCCGCTCCGACAACATGGAGGTGAGCGGGTGAGAGAGAGAGAGAGCGAGGACGGTAGAGCGAGGGAGCGTGTGAACTCGGAGAGCGAGGTGGGAGAGAGATCACTGAACATTGGCAAGTATTGAAAAACAGATGAATATGGATGTAAATATTTGCTAGACGTAATTTATTTATCTATTTCTTTTATTTATTTGCACGGTCGTGGGCGGCACAGGAAATTATCATCAGCAGGTTTCTCCACAGCTTGTACAGGAAGAGTGTGTGAAGCAGGAGGAGGACACTCACTGATTCCTTACATGAGAAACCTGGTGTCAGAGGGAGGACAGCCTCTCCTCCTCTCCGCCTCTCACTGTGCCGTTATCCAAAAATATTAATAATAATGAAATAAAAATAATTAAAAAATAATAAAAACACAAGTATTTAAAAAATACGTAGATAATAAAAATAGAAAAATAGATAATAAAAATATTTTTATATATAAATAAAGATAAATAATAAAAATAAAGTAAATAAAAAATAGATGAAATTAACAAAACAAAACATAAAAATAGAAAATAAAATAAAAATGAATAAAAAGATATTTAATAAAACGTATAAGGGATAAGAAAGATATCTGATTATGGTGATGACACAAATTATGATTGTAGAAACAATTATGATTTGGCAGCTGAGAGATAAAATCACAAAGTGCATCAAATTGAATATTAAAATATTCTAATCAATCATCTTTTGATTGTGTCACTGCTGTTTATTGGGATTATCTGGTCGGTCGACGTTATGTGTGTAACTGTCCACAAGCAGCCAGGAAATGACAAACTGAGTGACAGAGTGGTTCTTACTTTATAATCCACTTCACTGGGTTTTAGTGCTGAGCTGCAGCTGTGAGCTGGGGCTGCCCAGTCTTAATAATCTGTTCCCAGCTTTACCGACTGTATATGCTGACTTTACATTAGCAGGTTACTACAGTGCATGAAACCGAGTCCGAGGATCTGGTTTCTTGTGTGGGTGGATGCAACTCTGTGTCTCCTCAACCGTTGCTGCTGCTGCTGCTGAGTATAACTGACCCAACTGTCCATTCTCTGTTCAATATGCTGCGATTATCAGCTCGCAGTGAAGCCTGCTTCAGATATCAGACAGGAAACTGACTCGATACCTTCAGTGTATCACGTTACTGCGGCTCCACACAATAATGTTCTGCTGTGACCGAGGACACACAAAGCAACCTCTGTAACACCGTCTGTAACAACACAGACTCGTTCATTTACTTCCTTCCAGCCTCCTTGAATACTCCCGCCTCCCACCGGCTCATACTCCTTTTTATTTGACGCAGAAACATGCAAACACAACGATATGGAGACTTTTGATGTGGAGACGGAGGAGAGGAGCAGGGCGTGTTTTAAGAGAACTCACAGATGGTATGAAAGAAGTCAGTCATGAGGAAAACAAGGCGACTGGTAAAGATAATAAGAAGAGAAAGACTCATCGGTTCATACGTACGGGAGAAAAGTGGAGAATAACAGTAGGAGGAGGGGAGAAGAGGAGGTGTATTGATAATGTAACCCTCGTGTGTGAAGCGGCTTCACTCAGTGTTTTTAACGGTTAGAATCACCGGGTTTGTTTGATTTCCTGAACCACTGAAGGAATCCAGACCGGGAGGCGAAGACAACAACTCCTGTGATCCCATGATACCTCATGACGTCACCCAACGCCGTCTTTTCTTATTGTTTTGATTAACTTTTTTCCTTCTTTGAGGAAACCTGTTAAGAGAGTCTGTGCTGTACTGAAGTGGAAAACTTGTGTTTGGTTTTTTTTTTTGCAACTGGCATTTAATCCATTTTCACATTTCTACCTTACTCCTTGAAAAGGTTGGAACAAGCTGCAACCAGAAGCAGAACTTTTAAAAATGGCTCATCCTGCATCTGTAGAGCGAAAAGAAACAGGAGAAGCAGGGCACAGCGGGGAATAAATAAATATAGAGCCTCCCAATGAAAGCCATCTGACCCCCGCCTTGAGTCTGATGATCCTCAACGCACAACAATCCCCAACTGACACCATCAGAGCTCCTCGCGGCTCGCACTCTGCTCCTCGTCTCCCCGAGCGAGAGCGCTGCAGGAATAAAAGCAGCCGCACAACTTTCCCTCCGAGTTCACACTCTGAGCTCAGTCACGATGACATCACCACAAGCTGAAGCAGTTTGAGAGGAAAAGAAGAAGAAGAAGAAGAAGAACTTCCTTTCAGAGAAAAGTTTTCTTCTTCTTGAGTAAAACACGGCAGCGCGGACAAACAAATATGAATCATCAGTTATCCTCAGAGTCAAATATGAAGAGTTGTATTAATTATGATTTAAAAAAAGAAAAAAAGAAAACGAAAGAAGAGGCTGTTCCTGAAACGCCGCTCAGCAGCGAGGCTATAATTACACGACGTGGAAAGCAGGTACTAATTAGCACCTCAGAAAACATACCAGCGCTCTGAAAAACATCTCATCAATTGTTTATCTTCCTCGTGTCGGCCGTGAGGCACCAAAACAAAACAGCATCAATTACTGGAGCAGGGCGTCGGTATGACTGCAGGCCACCATGCTGCTGCCACCGAGCACAGAGACTGTTAATCAGCTGCAGTGGGAGTGACTGAGAGGGTTTGATGAGTGTGTTCAACTCTGAACATCCAATAAAAACACTCCTTCATACCCTCTCTTTCTTCTTCTCTCTCTCCATACAGTTGGAGTGCATTATTGAATGTCTAAGGAAATGGAGAAGCGAACAGGAAATGATGTGTCACGCGGCGGCTTCATGATGAATATCTTCACTCAGACCCCCGGTGATAATATTGCACTTGTCCCCACGCTTTTATTATGAAAGGGTTCAAAGCTGTACATCAACTCCAGGGTTCACACTGATGAGAACACACCAGAAACTGGATAATTGTTAGCTAACGTCGCTAACACTAGAGCAGGGGTCACGGGACGCCCTCATCATCACAGTCTGTTCAGAGGAGACCGTCGCCTCACACTGCGAACGCTGTAATTATATGGTGGCGAAGCTACAGGCTTCCTCCACAGTCTCAGGTCTCTAATGAAAATACAAAATAAATATCATCAGTAAAAACATGAACAAAAAATATTTTCTTTTAAGTGTGAACAGCAGCTGAGAGAGAAGGTGACGCTCACTACACACCTGAAAACAAAACTACTGGAGGGATTGGAGAAGGTAAAAGGAGAGATCTTTATCACTAGTGAGGGAAAAAGGTAAAGTTGAGCCTGAGGATGGAGCCAAAGAAAAGGCCACATGATCTAAAGAAAAAGGGTTTATCCTGCTTATCCATCGATCAGTCTTTGGACATCTCAGACTCCGTCACGCTCCGGCAGCCTGAGCCAGATGAAGCTCGGTTCATTTCAAAGAGCTTCGTTCATAACAGTAACCAGCATTTCACACCAAGTCAAACTCTGTATACGCTTTCAGCCGATTTCCAAATTTGAGGATAAAACATTTTCTCCATCTTCTGTTCTAGCATAGCACAGTTAGCATACAGACTCTAGTGGTCGTTAGAGGAACTGCAGCTTCATGTTTCAGCCCCGGAGGTTTAGGCTTGGTACAAAGTTTAGCACGTTTTAGCATATTAATTATATTGTGGGTCTTGCTTATCTTATTGTAAACTATCATAGACCATATTCATCCATCAGTGATCAATAACAAACCTTCATTAAATCACAGTTAGAAGCAGTGACACACAGTTCACATTCTGCTCTGTGGTTTGCTAATATGTGACCAACTTGGCTGGTGAGATACGTTCCTCAAATACTGACTCACCTGTGTGTGTGTGTGTGTGTGTGTGTGTGTGTGTGTGTGTATATGTGTGTGTGTGTTTCTCCCTCAGCCTGCATGTGATATACAAAAGCAAGAGTGGAGTGTGTTGAGATCACATTTGGGCCTCTGCAGAAGCTAATGCTTTTGTTTCTAAACAGCTCATTATTTGTGCTGCAGTCACCGACAGTGGCAAACAAATGACTCAGAGGTTTGTGTGTGTGTGTGTGTGTGTGTGTGTGTGTGAAAGAGCGATGGAGACGGAGGAAGAAAATGCCACAGACCACTTAAAGTCTCAATGATGACAAGCGAGCTCCACAGACTGCAGCTGTGCTCGTGGCGCAGGTGCGTTTTCAAGTCAGAGATGAATATTTCTGTGTGTGTGTGTGTGTGTGTGTTCTCTGTACCTTTGTCACTGAAGTCGTCGACCAGGATGACCTCTGCGATGAGCTGTGGAGGAGAGCGGTTGAGGATGCTGTGAACAGTCCTCAGCAGCGACGACCAGCCCTCGTTATGGAACGGGATGATGATGCTGGTGTTGGGCAGCTTCTCTGAATACAGCTTCTGTTTACAGCTACACACACACACACACACACACACACACACACACACACACACACACACACACACACACAGGAAAGAGAGAGGGAAGCAGAGAGGACTTTAGCCATATTTACATTGAAGCTCTTCATGTCACCTCCCACATGTAGAGTTTAACAGTGACTTCTCATATAGAACCACAATTCATCTCACAGGATACCTCTCACATAAACCATTTCCCAGCATGCCTCAGCTGTGCGTTAAAACTGATTACGTACTATACATGGTAACAAGCTTATATGAAAAACATTACATGATTTAAGTGAGCATTTTAACATGAATAATGTCAGCATATCAGCATTAACATGTTAGCATGTAAACAAACTAACATACTGATCATTAGCATATCCTCAGTGTTAGCATGTACACAAACTAACATACTGAACATTAGCATATCCTCAATGTTAGCATGTACACAAACTAACATACTGAACATTAGCATATCCTCAATGTTAGCGTGTAAACAAACTAACATTCTGATCATTAGCATATCCTCAATGTTAGCGTGTAAACAAACTAACATACTGAACATTAGCATATCCTCAATGTTAGCGTGTAAACAAACTAACATTCTGATCATTAGCATATCCTCAGTGTTAGCATGTAAACATACTAAACACACTGCCTTGCATGAACCCTTCAAAAACAAACAAAAAAAAATGAATGTTTGCTAACAGCTACTATGACACAACGCTAAACAACATGGCAGATTTTGAGTGTAACATTTAGCATTTAAGCTTTGCTAGCATGCTATGTTAACATTCAATAGCTGTTCATGTCTATTACGTAGTGTAGTGTATTGGTGAGCTAATGTTTGTATCCATTCACATTCACTTGTGTATGGAGCAGGCAGCCAGTTCAGCCTTGACGTGGTTCACTGTGCTTTCAGTTAATATACGCTGTGTATAAGAGCTCTTTATTGGTCCATTCAGGTCACAACTAAAATGAATATCTGACAGCAGCATTATCTATGACCACTTGTTGAAACGAACCACGGAAATGTGAACAAACCTCTGGCAGAACAGCTGCAAAAGCAACACCACAGGCAGCCAGATCAAAATACTAAGTGTATATTAATGCTGCAGTACAAGTGGAGTTCCCTCCTAACACATGTACACTATAACTGTTGGCTGTAATAGAACCATATAGTTTTACAAAATGATTCACCATGTGTCTGTGATGAGGCTATCATCTAAAATTTTAAAATCTTAATTGACAGCGGGGAAGAAAAGCTGCCGCCCTTTTCTTCATTGTGCTGCAGAGCTCGACCAGCCCAACCTGAACAATGTGTTGCTCTTTTAATCATAATGTAATGAAGCACACCACCTGCTGACTTGCCCTTCCATCCCTTTCTCTTTCTCTCTCCGAGACGTCAGGGGGGAATCTGCAGAGACAGTAATTATCTCTGAGTCTTTCAGGCCTGTCTGGCTGCCTGAAACTCACCCTCTCGCTCTCTCTCTCTCTCCCTCCCTCTCTGTCTCTCCATCACGTCGTTCAGTCAGTGAGTGTGAGTGAAATGAATGAGTGCACGCTGTTGGGAGGTCTGGGCCCGCTGAGGACTGATGTGGCACCTGGCTGTCGTGACAGCTGCCACTCTGCTGTCACTTTGACCAATCAAACAGACACCAGCTCCTCCATCCTCTGTGCACCACCCGCACCCCCATCTAACCCCCCGGGTGAAGCATTTGGGCGCTAATGATGGCGATGGCGGCCTGGAGGTCCAGTGCGGCCCCCGACGAGTAATTCCTGCGGTTCTGCAGAGACGACATCAACGATGGACCCGACGGCCCTTCAGTCGAGTCGGCCTTTGACACCCTCTCATTGATGGTCTCTGCATGACTGAGCCCAGAGCTGGTTTTCAATTCAAACCCATCGCAGCGGTCCTGATAAATGAGTTTCAAATGTTCCCTTAAAACAGAGTCTGTTTATCAAGGACGATCACTGAACACAAAGGCAACAGCTAAGACGACACAAACAACAAAGGCTTTGGATATATCGACTACTTATAATGGCAACGGCTGTACTGTACAGTTTTCTATATTGTTACTGATCTGCTTGTTTTAGCTCCAAAGAAAACAGTGTGACACTTTCAGCGTTTTCGAGAACGCTTTGTTGCTGCGATCAGGTTCACATCGCTGCTAAATAGTCGTGTGAGTGATGAAAAATGAAACGTAAATTGATTTCTTTCTAGTTATTCAAACCAAACAGCGGCTCCGCCTCTAACTTCACCATGTCATTAGCAGCTTTGGCTAATTCTGAACCTTTATGAGTGGACATGTCTTACTTGGTGGTCGTGGACGGCTGTGCGAAGAGAAAGCGGGCGATAAAGTCTTCCAGAGAAAATAAACAGGGGGCATGGAGATCATAAAGTCTTGCATCTTATTCCCCCGCTGGCTCCACCTCAGAGTTCACAACACTTAACTCCGTTCCCTTGACAGCCATGACAATTTCCTGTCAAGCATTAATTTGACGGAATACGCGGCATGTGTTTCTTGCAACACCGGCTGTTTTCCTTTATGAGCTCAGAAGATGCAGCAGATTTAGAAACAATGAGAGATAAATGAGAGAGAGGACGGACCGTGTCCCAAAGAGACCCGCTGCGAGAGAACACATTTAAAACGGTTTCCAACATGAAAGGGTCAGGAAGAGGCTTCTTGTCAGGTAGAGGGAAAGCGCTGAAGGCTGATCCGTGACGAATCGGGTCAGCAGGTCCCAAGCTGTTCAGCAGACGGTATTTATAGCGTTTCTGCCGTGTTTATTTTCAGTGTTTTGTTCTTTAATGAGTCAGAGCAGAGCTGGAAAAAAGCAGCAATCTGTAGTGTAGCTACAGGTCCGCATGGCTCATCACGTCTCTACAGCCCCTGTTCTTCTGTACACCTCCTCCATACCTTCAGACGGTGGCTCCGTTCTTAACTCGCATGCTTTCGACACTCCACACGAATCTTTTGTTAAGTTTTATAATATAACTTCCACTTGGGAGTCACTTCTCAGTCTCTCTGACGCCACCGGCTAATCCACGCAGCTCTTTTAGCTATCGGGGGAAATGTCGCCATCTGTAGGTCGCCCCGACAACTTGCGGAGCATTTGGAGCTGGACGCAAAAAATGGTGGCGGAGAGGAGAGCGGAGGTGCAGCGGATGACAGAGAATAAGATATGTATCTAATATTTATACACCTTCAGTTTATGTTCAGAAATCTTCAGTTTGTTTTGTATTTTCTGCTCTGAGTGAAGCACATGTTCTGGGATACTCCTGAAGTCAAAACATCAGATGGGTTTTTGCCTCTTTTTATGAGGCAGAAGTGAAAATTAGTTGTTGACAAAATGTGTTGTGGTTTCAGAATGATGGAGACAATTAGATTCAAATCATGATGCAGACTCTGGATGATTTCTTTTTTTCCTGGGTAACTATCATGTTTTCCCCAAATACTGAAGCCTAGAAACAGCTTGAAGAACAGAAGCTGCTGAGGATGGGGAAAGAAAGATTTCCCCAGTGGAGCACGACTCCTGATCATAAGCCTTAAGTTTGGTCTAAGGGCCGAGTGTTTACAAAGTCTGGCTCCGCCCCCCCGGTGAGCTGCTGCATGGGACATTACTTCATCATGCTCACCTCAGTACAACTTAGTGTTTGCTATATTTTGTTAGCATGTTAGCACACTAACATTTAATGTGTTTCTCCTTCTCTCGTGGCTCTCTTCATCCTCATCCTCGTCCTGCAGCTTCATTCCCCTGGTGCTGCCAGGCCAGACAGGAAGTGGAATCCCTCCAGCTTTAGCTCCCAGGCGTCTCCACCAAGGGGTCTCCTCCCGTTGGATGTGCCCTCAAAAAAAAAAACCTCCACAAGGAGACACCCAGGATCCCGATTATAAACCTGAACCACCTCAGCTGACTCCTCTAAAACAAGTCGGAGCAGCGCCTGAGGCTGAGCACTAATTACAACCACCTGTAGCTGCCGTCTAATTCCCCCGGTTTCAACCTAAAGCTCATGACAGGAGCTCAAGGTTGAAACTTAAATCAGCAGGTAAGTGGAGAGCTTTGCCTTCCGGCTCAGCTCCGTCCCCACAACGACTGAACCACCGCTGACGATTACAGCCGAGGCTGAAAGGAATTCACTTATTAGTTTTACAGGTTACACTCTTTTGAGCTTCCTGCTGAAATCTTCTTCAGGCCGAGAACATCAACGCTGGACGCGAGATATCTCACAGTCTGAGAGACAATCATGCTCCAAAGATGATGGATTTTAAAGACCCAATGGCTTTTCCTCATTCACCACAGATTAGCAGAATCATTCGTGCGTCGTCTGTTCAACCCAACTGTTTGTCCAATGAGCAGCATCTGGGGGTCATTACAAGGACTTCTCTTTTGTCGCACTGGGACCAGTGTGGTAAAAATTTCCACTTCCTATATTCTCTTACTGGCAATCTTCTCACTGAGGAAACCTGCCCCCCCCCCCTTAAAAACAACCCTCATGCCACAGCAGTCAGAATAAAAGCTCCAGTGTAATACAGAACACATCTATCATCAGTTCNGGGGTGGGGTGGGGTGGGGGGGACATCAATGACACTGATAATTGCTGTCAAGAACATGGTTTATAAATACGTAGGTGCTGTGTGGTGTGTAATCAGCTTCTGTCTGTGTAAAGCTACATCTCTCCTGTGAATAGACTGGGCAGGTTGATAACTGGAACATTTGTTCCAAACAGTGCTTGTTGTAATGAGTTGGGACAGATCCAGCATGGGAAAATAAAGGTGTAAACAACGCTCAAAATAGGGATTGGTGTTGCGTCCTATTGGCTACTGTCATCCCCGCACACGGGAGGGGTGGGGTAAGGTGGGCGAGGTCGAATCCAACTACTAAATATAGGCAAAGTGATTTTTTAAAGGTCCATCCAGTGTAAAGGTCTGTGTCCATGTGTAGTGTGATTATAGATCAGCTCTAGCTTCTATATTAATACTGTGAAAGTATCAAAGCCTCAGTCCACAGAGAAATGCACACAGCCTGTATTCAGAAACTGAGCCTTAAAACCAGCCGTCAGGACTTCTGGAACTTTGTGATGTCACAACAAAGCAGTCACCAAGCCCCGCCCACCTGGACCCACCATCCAAACCTTGCAGGATTTGGTTTCTCTGAGTGTTTTTACCTGAAATCTGCTATATTTTTATTGGATCACTCAGAAAACAGTCAGCCAATCAGAAGAGAGGCTCAGAGCCTCCTCTTAAATCCACAAATATATCTTTTTATGGATCAACACTTCAAAATAAAACACAGGAAGTGTAAGATAAGGGACCTTTAACTCAAAACCTCTGAGGACCTTTTGTGGACCAAGGACGATGGAACATCACAGAACTTTAAAGGTTCCTCTGAACATCTTTATCTTCAGAGTCATAACTGCACTATTACTACAATTATCAATTATGTTACAACACTGGACTGTTTGTTAATGGAACTGTAAACCTGTTGTCAGCTGCATTTGCAAGAACCTTTGAAAAGTCTTGACACACTAATTGCTTTATAATGACAATACAAGTGACTATTATATAAATTTCATGATGAGTGATAAATGATAAACTATAAATACTGCTTTTTTTTTTTTTTTTTTGCTTTATTGCATGTTTGGTCGGAGCAGCTCCAACTCGACCATGTTGGTCATTTCTATGAACTGTGCAGCGGTGATAAAAATTCCCTGTAAAGTGACCTCTGACCTCGGGCAACCCTGCCATTTTTCTACAAAAAGCATTTTCTTTTGAACAGAAGGCAGGAATGGGGGCCACAGACGGCCAGAGAGTCTGCAGGTTTTCATTCCAACCAAAGACCGCAGCAGGTTATTTCCGAGACTGGCACTCCATCAACCAGAGAGGAGGAATGAATCACCTGCTGCAGTCTCTGCTCGGAGTGAAAACCTGCAGACTCTCTGCCACAAGGGGCAGATGGTTGTTCCCAAAAAACAAAAACAAAAGAAAACAGGTTGAGCAGAGGACGACAGGGTGGCCAGCAGGTCTGACCTGGGAAATCTGTTTATAAGAGAAGACGTAGAATCAAACGCTTGAGATATTTCTGATGAGAGATTTCACTAAAACTGGATGCTGTGTGCATTTAAATTTTTTTGGGGGGCTATCTTCAAAAATGCAGAAATACTGTACGTGCTTTTCTACGTCTTTAGAGTTGGACGTGACGTGGACTTGACTTCCTGTCAGCTGAAACATTCAAGTCACAGCCAGGCAGTGCAAGTGTGTAATAAGAAAGCCGGTGCATTAAAATAATGTGTTTCACCTCCTGTGTTTAATTTATAATGTTGATCCAACTGAAGATATGTTTATTCAGTGTAATCTCTCGCTCTCCCTCCTCAGACAAACACCAGCTCACAGGACTCACTTCGGGTGGCGGATGTCCGGGACGGAGCGGTTGAGGGAGATCCGGTCGCTGACGTAGATGTTGAATCCGTTCTCCCTGTAGGCCTGGTCCACCCGGTCGGCGTCCGTCAGGGGGAACGGCTTCCCCTGTTCACCGTTACCTAACATCAAACACATTTCACTATGAGTCTACGAGTCAAAGTCTCCACACCCTTTAAAACACGAGAGAAACTTCAAAAAGGCAAAAAGGGAGAAAAACAAGTTTCATTTTCTTTCCTTTGGAGAAAAATCAAGGTTTAAAAAAATCTTTTAAAGTATTAAAAGTAGTGGGAGAGTCCTCAGACCAGGACCGGGTGAGGAGGTTTGAGCTGTGACACTGGACACAGATCACAGACGAAATAAAAATCCCATCATCTACAAAACTTAAAGACCTTTTACAGAGAATAGAAATGGAAAGTGGGGGCCAATTTCATCACCGACAAAAGACCATTCAAGTCCTAAAACACAGAAAACAGTGGAATACAGTGATAGTCGTACTTTCTGCACCTTTGCATTCATATTCAAAACTTCCTGGATTCAAACTTCAGATTAATTTAACAACAAAAGCACTGAACTTTCACAATAAAAGACCAAGAACTAAAAATAGAAAGAAAGAAAGAAAGAAAAAAACCTCCAACACCAAAATAACTTGTTTGTCTAAATAAAAGAAAGAAACCTGCTGATGAAACATGATGAAACATGATGAAAAACATTTAAACTCTAATGGCTGAACTGCTACGAACAGCTTCACATTATTCAGATTGATCAAACAGGAGAAACAGGGAGCCACTGGATACACGTCACCATTTACAGACACACGTTTCATTACGCAGAAATAAAGAAAAGTGACAAGTGAAAGTCTGAAAGTAACCAACTCACTTCAGGGATAAACTCCATTATAAATAATCTATTCAGTGTTTGTATCGGGGCTGAGTTTGTGCTGATTGCAGCTGATATAAAGTGTATTTGTGACGGCAGAGCTGCATTTAAAGCACAGAGTTACACCACTGCTGCAGAGCAATAAGAGGGAACAGGATGGCGTGTGTGTGTGTGTGTGTGTGGGATATGTGCATATAAATGTATGAATCTTCCTTCAGTGTGTGAGATTTGTGCACAACAGTGAACACTGTATGCATGATGAATACTTCCTGCCGTTCTCGTCTGTATGTGACGCAGGATTCACGAGGAGGTTTGGACCCACCGGATCGAGAAGCGTCTCTTTTGATCGCCTCATAGTCATGCCAGTCTTTCCTCCGCACGCCGTCACGTCCCACCTGAGCGTCCTTCCCCATCCGGTTCACCCCCTGTAGACACAGACAAGCACGGTCATGAATGAATGAGAACGAGACGCTCCATGGCTGGTTTACAGCGCCATATTTTCTTCCTCTTCTCCTGTGTTTTATTTTGAAATGTTGATCCATAAGAAGAAACAAAAACCAAAAAGTTTTACATCTCTCAAGTCTCTAAAAACATCTGTTTTCCCTCCATTAGCAGGACTGCTTTGAAAGCCCAATCAAATAGTATTTAGTATTGGTAGTATTTTAGTGTTGTTTATTATTGATCATTATTTTATCAATCTTAGAGATCAGCCTGGAAGTGCAGTTTAAATTACATCTCGTCAGTCAGAGACGGTTCAGCCGCCACACGTGACCGGCAGGAACCACGGAGACGGTCGGCTGTTTATTGTTAAAATATGCAACATTTGTTGTTATCGATCCAAAACGTGCACGATCACCGGTGTGCGCATGCCATTACACAACAGTGCAGAGCAACACATGATTGTTTCTTTTCTTCCACTCCTCCGTCAGCATCAGCGTCATCTCCAGAGCCTCAGCCTCTCACTACCCAGCAGCGCTCTGGTGAGAGTCTATCCACACAAAGTGTACTCTTCTATTTCATGCTTGACGACCCTGTGAGGAGAATATCAATGCGCAGCCCCCTCCGAGGCCTAACGCACACAACCAGCCGCGCCGCACACGCAGGCGGAGGAGACGCTGCGGCTCGGCATACAAAAGGCAGGAGCCGGTTTCTTCTTCTACTTAGTCATTCTGCGCACCCGGTGACTTCCAGTGACTCGGCGTCGTGAATTACAGGATCACAGCACAATGGAGAAATAATTAGCTTGATGGGAGGAGGCAATTAGCGAAACACTTTAAATACAAACGGCGCCACTGACTGCATAAAATACTGTGAATTATTAATCAGACCACTGGCTTAGAGGAACATGACACTGAATAACAAACTAGTGTACAGTATGTGCACACACAGATTTGGTTTGAGGACTCGAGGTGTGTGTGTGTGTGTGTGAGAGTCTTTTTGGAAAGTGTGCATTATAACACTGTGGGGGACGTCTGGGAACAGCACGTCCCCCACAAGGTGAAGCATTTATTTTAGGGTGAAGCCTTGGTGTAACTGTTAAGATCAGAATTACAAAATGGCCAAAAAAAAAAAAAAAAAAGAAAAAAGAAAATTGGCTAAAGAATTTATGAGATGCAGTTAATGTGACATTGAAAGACATTGGCACTGAACCATCTGTTGAGGAACTGGCTGATTTTAGCTGATTCTTACATTTTTAAAGAGCACACCTCGACACCACCGGCCGGGGACAATTTACAACACAGTTTGAATGGACACAATGAAAAGGGCTTAAATATTTAAAAATCAATCTGAATTTGATTACACTATAAATTCAAACTCTAACGACTTAATATAGTCATAACTTATCATAACTTATGATTCATATTTAGTTTAACATGATTTTCCCACATGGAAAGTGAAACAACGAAACTTGTCTACTCCTGAGTGCATATCATGACTCAGGAGTTTATGAGATGTTTGTTGTGATTAAAATGGCGACTGGCAGACGCATCAGAACGGTTAGCGTAGTTATTTGTTCATGTTGTTTGTTAGCTTGTAGCTGTAACTTGTTTTGGTGACCGGTGGAAGAGCAGAGAGCATCAAGACGGTGAGAGGAGGAAACATCAGAGAGACTCAGCCAGAGTCTGTCGGTTAGCGTAGTTAGCATCTTTTATCTGTTCATTTTGTTTGTTAGCTTGTAACTGCCGATGGCTGACACAGAGTTAGCGGTTGTGCTAATGCTAACTGTGTCATTGGTTCACTGCGGTTCGAGGTGGAAACACTCAGTCACGACTCTTGAATTAAACTGGATTTTTCATCGTACGGGGTCTTTCAGTCGTTTCACATCATCCCCCTGTTTAAGGACAATGTTCGGGGTTGAATCCTGTTTGAAATTCTCGGCCTCCTCCCCTGAAAGCTTTTATATTGCACCTCTATAACTCCTCCATGCGGTGCTCGACTGTCTGGGTCAACCTGACAAACAGAAAAACCTTGAACGCTGTGTGAGTGTTTAAGCCTGTTTGTGTGATGAATGTGTAACCTATTATTCCGCCATCCAACTGGCCTCCGCCTCGACACACAGACGCAGTGTAGGAGTCCAATATGAAAATCTATTCAGCTCCCCCGTCTTCTCCTCTTCTTCCTCCCTTCTCTCTCCTTCACCTCCCGTATACCACTCTCTCTTTTCCCCTCTCTGTCACGGGCAGACGCCCTCAGTGTGTCACACAAGGACCTGACAAGCAGCAAGAGTCCATCTGTGCAAATTCATACTAAAAAAGAAGCGAGATTGTGCCGCCCCATTTCCTCCTGATTAAAATTTCAGCGCACGTCGCCATGATATTCCTCTGGGGCTTTTCCTTGCTGCTCGACGAGACCTTGAAAAACAAGACAAGGAGAGAGGAAAAACTTTTCAGCTAATGTGTGCACATGTTCAGTTTTGTGGAAGCGGAACGTGGGCGGGTGCTGAAACGAGAGAAGGTAATTGAGACAGACAGTAAAAGAGGACGAGTACGAGAAAGACGGAACGATGCTGAGGAACAGATGGGGGACGCGATCACGTGTGTGCATAAAAAGATTCTGCAATGGAAAGCCTTTAATTCACAACACATTTTCCATTAATAACCACTTGACTTGACTTTCATAAGTGTTGGATATTCTCCGGCTGAGAGAATAAAAGATGAAAAATCTACTCAACTAGGCACAAAAAACTCAAATTTTAACACTAGATAAAAAGTTAGAGGAATCGAACAAAAAGTCATGGCAACCCAGGGTCATTAGGACACGCTGTCAAGAGACAGTAACTATCTGCACCAATCCATTCAATAAATGTTGAGATGTTGGTGGAACTACACGAAAAGTCCTGAGATCAGCAAAGGCATCAAGGATTCATCCTCTGGACACACACACACACGCACGCACGCACGCACGCACGCACGCACGCACGCACGCACGCACACACACACACAGACCACTGCCACCAACGAAGCTCTAGGTGGTTTTAACACAGGGCTGAACTCCTGCTAAATCTTTCAATAAAAACATGGTGAAAACAACAGAGAGGCATGATGCTCCCCTCACTGTGTGTTTTGGTCCAGCAATAACCTCAGTTTAATTTGCTCATTAAGCATTTTTTGATATTGCAAGATTCTCTCCCTGGTGTGTTTTTTTTTATTTGTGGTTTGTTTTGTATATGTGTTCATGCTCGGACAGCAGCGTAAGAAAAGTGTGTATTTAATTTAATTTTTACTTTCACAGTATTAATACTGTGAAAGTATCAAAGCCTCAGTCCACAGAGAAATGCACACAGCCTGTATTCAGAAACTGAGCCTTAAAACCAGCCGTCAGGACTTCTGTTACTTTGTGATGTCACAACAAAGCAGTCACCAAGCCCCGCCCACCTGGACCCACTACTGAGCCTCCTCTCTTCTGATTGGCTCACCGACCTGTTGTTACTAGAGCTCCAGAGAGAAGCCTGAGAGAGGAGATGTAAAACTACACTGATGTTGTTTTTGGGTCTTAAAACCACCAATATATCTTCTTATGGATCAACACTTCAAATAAAACACAAGAGAAGAAGAAAATACAGAGTTTTAGATTAAATCTAATAAGAGGTGAGTGTTTCATTCTCAGAAGATGTTGTCTGGAGTGTCATTTATAATAAGGATACACAAAATAAGTTCTGCTGAGATTTGTGGAATGTAAAAAGAAAATTGTTAGTCCACAATAAAACCTCACAGGGTAACTTTACATTTGTTTGATGATAGTGTAGTAAACATAATGCAGCTCCGTCTCAGCCGGCTCATAACAATCCACATTCACAGTCCACTCACACACACTCACACACACACACACCGGCCCCGATGAGGCATTGAAACCGAGCTGAAAATAAGGCAGCAGCAAACACAGTCATCTGTTTCTCTGCTGTACGACACAGCAGAGAAACACCACTCCGCTAATCAGCGTCGTCAGAAAGCTCAGGCTCCACGCTGCCACGAACCCATTCCACTCTGGGCACTTTTCCGCTCTATTAATATTCAAGAAATAGCACAAACACAGTGATAGGACATTGGGGGAATGCCACCACAATCCACACAGGCTGCTGTGTCTCCAGCCAACATGTTCCAATTATCTCACAGACCCAAAAAAAAAGTCTCATTAGCGACACCCCAAAACAGAACTACGTCTTTAATTCTGCAGAGGGAACGACGTGACGACAGCCGGGAGGACAGGCATGGTGTCACCTGGCAGCTTGATCCCTCATTAAATTTAATGTAGCCTTTTAGTGGTCTATTTAACTGATGACAAAAGGCCACATGTCAGTCAGTGTTTGCACACGGATTCATGAAAGACAGACTGAGAGTGTCAGTTAACAAATGTGTATTTGCATGAGACACAGACACATTCCTGTATCCTGATCTACCTAAAATTCAGGAGCTGCCTCCTTCAAAAAAAGAAAACGACACAGCCCACAAAGTCGTGGGCTTCACGGCGCTGCGGGCGACTACCGTTCAACCTGTACCTCCTCCTAAAAATCACAATTCTACGGAGCATTCAGCAGAGCTTTGCTGCAAGTTCCCACACTTAGCCTTACACAGCCTCACCTCTTCAACTCAGAAAATCTAATACTGCCAGATTTACTTTCCAGGGAGCTGCCCCTGAAATGGCCGACAAAGCTGTAAATACCTCGAATGAAGTCTGCATAAAGTACAAGTTGTCAAATATCAACTGACAACTAAAGCGCCTGCATGGTATTTATCTTAATGTGTGACTGTAACAGCCAATAGTGCATGCACATTGACAAGGAGAGGCTCGGGCCATATTCAAATTTTAATATCTTGAAATTTTAATATCAAAGTATCACGATATACTATATTAGGAAGTATTGTTGCTATCGGTAACTAGTGTACCATACGAGCTGATGTAAAGCAGTAGCTTTACTGAGTATTTT